ATGAATAAAGACGGTCTTTCGATGAGAGCATGTGTAGGCGCTTGAGTTTCAGCTCTTTGGTAAGATCTGGGAGAGCCCAGTTCTCGCAGTGGAGGCTGAGGGTTGGAGATTCCACTATTGGACTTGGAATGCCATTGTCTGAGTATTGTATCGTCTCCGTGGAGGTGTGCTTTCTCACCATGCCTATTTCTATTCATTGGTGTGCAAAGGGGAACACCTACCAAGGTACACTCAACATTGAAAATTAGGAAATTCCATATTATCTTCATTGCTGTATGTCTGAAAATAAACATCAGGATGAAGTTGTTTGGAGAGTGGTAAAAACTGGGACAGAATATATGGAAGAAATCGTTATTATTGAGGTGCGTTTCTTTTTGACTTCTTTTTTTTTCCAGGAGTGGCAGGGGATTTTGTGATGCCCTTTTTCTGAAGTTGGAATTGAAGTTAAATAATGTTTTACTCATAGCCAATGGATTTAGGCTGATAAAGTTACAATGTTTCTCTAGCAATAGCCTGGCTTCTGTATTTTATGCTGTGTATTAAATGCATATATACAGACAGATCTGTTTATATATATATACACATGTATATGTGTCAGTAACTACTGTAACTATGTCAGTTTTCTATTGTATCTTACAGCAGGGCATGATATGACACCCAGCGTGCTTGTAATTTAGCTCAAGGAATTTTCTAGGATAGTGCATTAAAATCCCATGTACCATACTGAGGTATTTGCTTGGATTCTTTTGCAATAAGAAATCACTTTTACAAGTATAAAAGGAAGAATGGGATAATTTTATGGCGTTCTTTGAAATTGCTACTTTAGTGCAATTCAAACCCAATTAGAGGGGCCAGGCTAAATATTGTATTTGGTATAACCTCCATTGTAAAAGAGAATTGTGATAAATGCTCGCTGTTAAGTATCAGAAATCGGAAATATACTCGTGCTTATAATTCAGTGTCCTGCTTACGTAGCGTTTCAATCTCACCAGGAGCCTATAGTCTTGGTCCTGAAATCTGCCCTAAATTTTTAACTAGTATTCCTGTTTGTTTGGCTAGAATTTCTTTCAGAAAATACACCAACACTCTATTTTCAAATAAATTTTTTAAACAAGCTAATGAAAATATGTGAAATAGAATAAGAGGAAATGCTTGGAAAAAACTAGAATAGAAAAACATATCATTGAATTGATATTGGTTATATTTGACACATATTTAAATTGAGAATAAACATTTTTATCTCTAATGGGGAGGTTTTAAGTTTCCTTATTAGAAAATTTCATATTAGAAACTTAATGTTTCTCTAGCAGCAGCCTGGCTTCTGTATTTTATGCAGCGTATTAAATGCATTTTATGTTATTAAGTGGCATATCCTTTCCATTTTATATTACTGTCAGTTTTATAGCCTTCTCCTTCTTTCAATATCTTGTCCCGGCTCTTACCTTTTCGAGTTATGGATTATGTCACTTATATTTATTGAGTGCCTGCTGTAAACCAGAAAAGAGAAGCACCAGTAAGAAATGTTAGAGTGAATAAGACTGGCTACTAATCTTCTGTATGGGTTAATTTTTTTTTTTTTTTAGAGGTTTTTGCTATAGGGCACGTGCGCTCGCCAGACTGACAGAGAGAGACATAGAGACAGAAAGCGAGAAATCACCCCCCAGGGGGGATGGTCACGCCGCAATCCCTTCTCCTCCATTCTCCTCTCGGGATCTTAGGCATGCACGCACACGCGCCTAGTGTGAGTTTTAAGCCACCGGGTCCGGGACGCGAAATGCCATCAACTACGTGGGAGTCCAGCGACATAGCCATTACGCTAACTGCTGGTTCCCTGTATGGGTTAAATTTATATGCAAATCAGCACTAAATGAATTACAAGTTCACTACTTTTTCCACAAATACTGGGCATTGACCTTAAATGTGTGTGAATTCTGAAAAATTCACCATCCTGAACTCAGACACATGGACGAAACCGACGGAACCAGATGTATAGCCAGTTGTGGTTTCGTATGGAAGGCACTGGCAACCTGGCCTCATGCTAAATGGATGAAGGGTGAAGTGCAATAACACCTTTCTTATAAGTTTTCCTAAAATAAAGGGATATGTCAAAGTGTCCTCATTTAATGAAGAGACCCGTCAAATCTAAAATTCAGGTCCAAAATACCAGACTTCTTTTAAGACAAGAGTTTTGCATTTTCCTGTGAATAGTGAATTTTTCCGTGTGAATACTGCTAGAGTTGGTTATGTTTAACTTCCAGGGCTTCGAATTATTTATTTTGGCATTATGGCTTATGGTTTAAACTTTTTCAGCCCTTGGACTTCTCTAAAGCTTTTATCCATACATATATTTAAGAAAATGTGTTAGTTTTATTTATCAGTAAACACCAGACCACGTAAGCCTCTTTACTGTTACAAACATGTTTATAGCCCATTACAATTTTCAAAGTATGTTTATGCACGTCTTTGATGTAATCCTCCTTTGTGAGAGAAAACTGATATGCCGTATTTAGTGCCTTAAATACATAGTGAATCAGAGTGGTAAATGATTCCTGGAGATCGTGTTACTGCCAGGTGGGTACAAAGGCTGGCATCCACGATTTTAGCACATGTTGAATCTACATGAGTTGGTATGAACATTTGCGCTATTTCACAAAAGCTAAAAGGAAGGAGAAAGACCATATTTTTATCTTTCATGATTTTTTTCCCAGCGTGAGTGAAGGGTAGTACCATCTCGGTGTGCAGGAGACAGGCAGGAGGAAGCAAAGTGTGTGCATTGTCTGAGTAGCTTAGCATCTCTGAGAATTGCTTATTGGATGTGTGTTCCAGAGGGTATTTTTTATTTCTTTTCCTTTCTTTTCTGATACCTAGCCCACTCATTGCAGACCATTCTCTTACATACTAAGGAGTTTTCATATTAGTCCATGAGACGTTTTTCAAGTAAATACTATATCTTAATATAATAATTTGCAGTCAGGACTGCCTCAATTCAGACATTAGACCTGAAACCAGATACTTCTGTGAGCTCTGAGTTACTCTAAGCCGTAGGGTACAAAAGGGTCGGCTTTGGAGGGATGGAGTTTTCATGTAGATGGTTGACTCAGTCATGAGTCCTGGCAAAGAGCTGGTCTTTCTATTTTTGACTGCCCCATCTGGTACTCCAACAAAGAATGCATAGACATCAAAAGAGTTGGTAAAATCCAGTTTCCTTGTTAAAGTCAGCAGTCCCTGAGAAAGTAGGTTTTATCCATTTTACAGTCTTATTTGCTAAGACGTTTTTATTTTATAATTATATGTTGTCTTCCGTAAACATGTCTGTCTGTCTGTCTTTCTTTCTTTCTTTCTTTCTTTTTTTTTGGAGAGGATTTTGCTATAGGGTGCATGCGCTCGCCAGAAAGACAGAGACAGAGAGACAGGAAGCAAGAAATCACCTGCCAGAGGGACGGCCATGCCATAATCCCTTCTCCTTCATTCTCATCTTGGGATCTTGGGCACACACGCACCCGGCCTGAGTTTAAGCCACCAGGTCCAGGACTGGAACCGCAGTCGACTATGTGGGATTCCAGCGACATAGCCATTACATCAACTACTGGTCCCCAAGATGTGTATTTCTTAAGGACTGTTCATGTATCTAATACATTTTTGGGTGCTATGCCTAATACTGAGATCTATATACTGTTCTTTTAAACATGTAAGTCAAATAGAAAAATTATATGAAAGAAGTACCAGGGATGTTGAGAGAGATAAGTCAAAATAGCATTCTTATTTTGAAAATCCAATTAATGAACTCACCAGAAAAATAGAAAGTAGGACTGATACACCAAAATGTGCTAAAGATTGGATAAATATTCTTATCTATGGAAGAATAAACGTTCTAAGAAATTTAAAGACTGAATATGTGAAATAGTAGCAGTAACACTAGCAGCATTTTTTATAGGTTTCTGCCATAGAGTGTGTGCTCTCGCCTAAGAGATAGAAAGAGAGATAGTGAGAGGGAAAGTGAGAATTCTTCCTTCATGGGGGATAGCCATACTGTAGTTTCTTCCCCTCCATAACCCTCCTGGGAATTTGGGCACGCACGCATGCACATGCACTCTCTGAGTTTCAAGCCACTGGGTCTAGGACTGAAACTGTGGCCAGTCCAGCACCTTAACTACCATGCCACCTGCAGGCCCCATGGCATCCTTTAATTATGTTTGATTAATTCCTTTTCAGGATGTTATATTCTTTTATGTAGATTTTCTGAAAAGTAATTTTCCACACGTGCTAAAAGAATGTCACTTATTGTAAATGTGACTTACAATAAAACTCGTTTCGTTGTTCATCATAACAGAGAAATGCATCCTAAGGCATTTTTAATACTGATTTAGGGTCCCAATTAGCAACTGCATTTTCAATTGGCGCTCTTGGGCTTGTACCACATGAGGATTTCTTTCAAGTTGCAATATTTGACCAATAATATAAAACTATGCATTTGTAAAGACTTAGCTGTACATTTATACTGTATTTTATCTATTTGAGATAGGATTAAAAGTTATTTTAGATGGTATATTATGAGCTCTCATTAAATAATATTGCTATAAATATTTTATCATTAGGTTAACCTTATTAAAGGATGTTTTCCAAATGTTTTGTTTGTTCTTTACTTAACTTTATTTATTTATTAATTTT